TTTTTTTTTTTTTTTTTTTTTGTTTGTTGTTGGGATAAGAAACAAGAGCACTGCAATAAGATCTGTAAGAGGAATTTAGGACAAAAATTGGAGGCCTTGGGAGGTTTGAAAGCTCTGTAATATGTACAACCTTTTGACATTAGAGTACTAAAGAGATGTATTAAGATGTGCAATATCCACCCTTCACCAGTCTCTACTCCTAAATCTTTGTATTTCATATCCTAACTTCCGAATCATCTTTTAGTTGTAAAATGCTTTTGGTAAGAACCAGACTTTCATTTGAAAATAAAGGAAAGAATAAAAGGACCGAGGGCAAGTTGAAGAACCATATCTCACCATTTACTGTTAGGGGAATCATTTGTGATTGATTGAAGGTTTCTGTAGGCTTAGGCAGTGTACAAAGAATTATAGTTCTACTCCCTTGTTTTTCCTCATTGCATAGTGTGCTGGGATTTAGTTTCATTTTAGGGTTCTGTATCAATTTTCCTAGGGACAAGTGTCCAATCAAAACCCAAATCTTTTCTAGGGGTTTCAACATCCATGAAATACTTTTCATGTTTTGTTATATATATATAGGTATGTATGCATGTATATATTTATATATTAAAATGATAGGAACAACTTTGGTTGAGAATGAATGAAGGAATACATGGGGCAACACAAAAGAATGGAGCTCAAGCTAAAAGGAGCTTCTAGAAACCCTAGGAGATGTATTGCTGACGAGCTTCTGCTCTATTTCTATTTGATCATTGATTGTTTGATGGTTGATGGGAGGAATACTTATCTTTGGGAGGATAAGTGGTTGGAGATAGACCCGCTTGCCCTCTGTTTCCTCGTTTATATCATCTATATCTTTTGTGAGGAAACATTAGGTGGCTTTTTTTATTTCTCATTTTGGGACTTCTTCCTTGCCTTGTTTGGGGTTTTTTGTCCTTGTTTAGGGGCTTGGGGGAACTTCAAATGATGTTTGGTTCCTCGTCATGTACTATGGTTCTTTGTAGGCCTCAGTGATGATGCTTTTTTTGTAACTATCCTTTAGGTTTTGTTTTACTTAACCGGAGTCCCCTTTTTATAGTTTGCCTTCTCTTTTCTTTGCAGGCTTTGTTTCTGTATATCCTTGTCTCATTTTTCTTAATGAAACTTTGGTTATTCATAACAAAAAAATTGAATATAGACATTGTTTGCTGCCTTTATTCATATCACAGTGTCTTCATAAAAGAGATGCCCATACAAGGGTAGATATACACATTAGCTGGCCTTGAAGAGAGAGGACAGTTGCAGTTGTGAGCATAGTTTGTGGTCATAATATGCGGAGTCTTTGCTGTTTACATAAACTGGAAATATTCAAACAGATAATCTGTGGAAAATTATATTGTCTGGGCTCTTGTTTTTGGCTTCAGGAATTTATAGTTCTTAGTTGAATACAGCTTACTTATTTCCAAATGCCTTGTGCTTATTTCAACATTGTAGTTGTTTATATAACTTGCTTGTTTCTGATTATCAAATGCAGAAAGCTGTTCTTTCATTACTAGCCGACATATGTGGTGCTGGCTTGCCTCAGAGAGTTGAAAAACGAAGAAAGAGGAAAACTACTATTTCTATATCAGATATTGTCATGAAGCAATGCCGCATTGTATTACGTCGCGCTGCTGCTGCAGATGATGCAAAAGTCTTCTGTAACTTGCTTGGCAGGAAATTGATTGCTTCAAGTGATAATGATGATGAAGGACTTCTTGGTTCACCAGCCATGGTTTCTCGGCCATTGGACTTCCGGACTATTGATTTGAGATTAGCTGCTGGGTCTTATGCTGGATCACTTGAAGCATTTCTCGAGGATGTTCAGGAGGTTTGTTTTTATTCTTTAATCAGAATTCGTATTAATAATGGTAAATTGGAAATAGTAGTAAGATATAATTAGGCCATAGTTGTAATTAACTAGGGTGCCTTGGTGTTATAAATAGGGGGAGTTAGGGATCCTAGAGTGGGAATATTTTGGTTGTAGTGTGGGCTCTCTTCCAAGTCGGAGACTGGACAGTCTCAAAATAATCCCTTCTAAAATCCCTAGCTCTCCCTATTCATAACCAAGAACTTCCAAACTACCACTGTCTTTATTAATATCCTAATGCTAAAGAAAAACTTTCATTTAGCAATGAGATATGTGTAGGTTGTTGATAAATTTGTCCCTATGTGCATTATGCATATATATGTTCATTATCTAGATATATACGCAAACATATAAATATAACTGAATTAGGATGATATAAATTTATTTCCTTATCAATTAATTTCCCACGAAGGTTCTATGGTATAAATATATTTCTTTTGTTAAAAAATAGTGGTTTCACTAAAGACAGGAGGAGGTGTGCAATTTAGGTCAACTTTTGTGTTAAAATGCAATTTACGTAAAATTTTATATATAAATGCAATTTAGGTAAACGTTTGTTATGAGCTTCTGCCTGATCAAAATACAAAGAACATTGTCCATGAGACATTCAAAGTGCATCCTAAAAGAAAAGTTGTTGAGTGGCATTCCAACAGGCAACTGCATGTTTATAAGAATTCTGATAAATTATCTTGTGATTTAAGCTTGTACAGATGCTTTGTGATGAAGTATATAGTTAGTCACAAAATAATGCAATTTTTTTTTTTTGGATAAGAAACAACCATTACAAACATCAAAAGGAAGCCAACCGCCTAGGTGCCTGGGTGGAGAAAGCCAGTCAGTACGGTCCTTTCTTTATGTCTCTGTTTGGAATACCTAGTGTGGTTAGCAAGGTCCCGAAAAAATTGATGCGAGATTTTTTACTGGAGGGGGTTGATGAGAGGAAAGGTTCGTATCTTGGGAAATCCGTGGACATGGGGACCTTAGAAGCCCAAGGATCCTCCCAAATTGAATACGCCATCCTATTTTGAAGAGTTTTTCTTGGAAGGTGGGAGGCTTGCTCTTATTCTCAGTCTGTCCTTGGCCATCATCCCAACCTAATTTAAGTCTCTGTTGGAGTACCTAGTGTGGTTAGCAAGGTCTGGAGATATTGATGCGAGATTTTTTCCGGGAGGGGGTTGACAGGAGGAAGGGTTCGTATCTCGTGAGACCGGAGGTGGTGTCTAGGTTGTTGGAGGAAGGGGTTAGGCATAGGTAATGTTCGGGGGAGAAACAAGACCCTACTGACTAAATGTCTTTGGCAATGCCAACCCGACTTTGACACCTTGCAGCACTAGGTTATTGTTTGCAATCATGAGCCTCGTCTTTTTTATTGGACTGTGGTTGGGATGTAGGGTACTTCCAGAAACTCGTGGAAAGATATTTCTGTTGAGATATTTTTTAATTTATTTTTTTGTTCAAAATTTGGTGGGAAATGAGATATATACTTATTTTTGGGATGATTGGTGGTTAGGGGATAGACCCTTCCATTTTTACGATTATATTAGTTGGTTTCCCAGAAGAATCATATGGTGGTTTCTATCCTTACTCTTGCTAGGATTCTACCTTCTCTTTACTTGAGTTTTTGTTGTCCATTGGACAATAGGCAAATATAGATGTCTTGGCTTTGTGATCTTTGCTAGTCGTTACTTGTTTAGCCCTTATAGGAGGAAAGATTGCATCTAGAGTCCTTGCCCTTCCAAAGGCTTGTCTTGCAAATCTTTCTTTCTTTTGTTGTTTGGCTAGTTCCTTCCATTGGAGAGGTAAAGATTTCCAAAAAGGTTAAGTTCTTTGTGTGGCATGTTGGGCATGGAAGAGTTAACACCTAGGATCCGATCTTGGCTAAGGGTCCTCTTTTGTCAGGCCACCTTGTTGTATTCTTTGCAGGATGGTGGCAGAGGATCTTGTTCATTTACTCTAGAGATGTGATTTTGTTAGGGCTTTGTGGAACTGTTTTTGTGAGACATTCAACTTCAGCTTTGAGAGTTGTAGGGAGGCGATCACAGAGTTTCTTCTTTATTCACCTTTCTATGAGAAAGAGTTGTTCTTGTGGCAGGTTGGGGCTTGTTCCATTTGGTCCCATTTTTCTCATTGGGTATTAGTGACAAGGTCTTTTAATAATTAATTTCTAGGTCTTATTTTATTGGATTGGAGTCCCTTGGACTGAATGTCTTTCATAAGGAATCGGAGGAAGATTTGACGATTTTTTGGTTGGAATGTGTTCTTATCTATTAATAGGTTTTTGGTTCACTTTTTTATTCTTTGTTACTTGGCTCCCCTTTTTGTGGGTTTCTTTTTTGTTTTTTTGGCCTTTGCACTCTTTCATTATTTCTCAACAAAAGTTCGATTTCTCATTAAAAAAAAAAAAAAAAACTTCAGCTATATCCATGCTACGGTGCTAGGTACTTAACAGTTCAGGAGCTTTCTTCTCAGCCGATGTCTCTAATTTAGAAGCTGCCTTGTATTTGTTATTTTAGCTGAAAGTAACAAAGGGATTTTTGAGGGAACTCCTCTCAGTTGCGGATACTTTTGGGATTGCTTTATTAGCATTCAGTTGGTTGGTTCCCCATTGGAGTTTATGTCATAATATTCAGACGAACTATGGAGGCCTTTAAGGACGAAATATCTTTTTCTTCCTCTTCTGCAATCTTTCTTTTCTATAATAAAATTTTTCTTATCTCAAAAGAAGTTGGTGGTTCATGCTCAAAGTTCTTAAACGTTACTGTAAGCTAATCATGGATGAGTTTTATTTTTGCTATTTCCTTCCATGTTGTGTTTTGTTTTAATTGCTCGTTCTTACTACTTTTTCTTGTGGCTTTGGCTCTCTCCTATCCAAAAAGCTTATTGGTATTGATGGTTGATATCCCCTTGCAGCTCTGGAATAACTTACGCTATGCTTATGGTGATCAGCCTGATTTGGTTGAATTAGTTGAGACATTATCCAGGAATTTCGAGAGACTGTATGAAAATGAGGTATGCGCCTTTTTGCTCTCACTTCTTTCCATTTCTCTTTACAATTTTAATGTTTTCATAATTTGGCAGTGATGTACCGTAGTTGTGATGTGCATAAGATGTCTGTTTACAATTTCATCATTGGAACCGCATGCAGATAAATGTTTTAAGTTTTAATATTTTGAGTGTTATTTCTTGATTTAAAAACCCTTCATTTTCTCATATTTATTTTGAAGAAACATATTTTAGTTAAATAATGTAGGAACAAAAAACCTTAAAGGAAAACATGGTTGGAACCGCATGTAGATAAATGTTTTAAGTTTTAATTTTTGAGTGTTATTTCTTGATTTAAAAACCTTTCATTTTCTCATATTTATTTTGAAGAAACATATTTTAGTTAAAATCATGTAGGAACAAAAAATCTTCGAGGAAAACATGGATACTCATTTATCATTTCTTAAGCCAAAGAGATTACCAATATAATCTTCTGTTGGCATACATAAAAAAGGAGCAGTTACGACACTCTTTAGGCAGGAAAGTCCTAGACGCCTGAAAACATATTATGTATCCAAAGATATGGAGCCTCAACTATCTTGTTTCTTTTATATTTAAAAAGAATAGATGGCTGTTAGCTAGGATGTACTACCTGTGGGTGCGTCAAAACCACAATGATTTTTGAACTTCCTGAATCTGCATTATAATCTTCTACCTTTAAAAAGACTAAAAGAGAACAATTTAATTTACCTCTAGTCCATGGGGCTTTGCCACCATAAAAAACTATACTTTCGTTGAACCAGCGAGAGAGTCCATGACATTGTGCCACAGAGATTCTTTTGACAGAGTTCAAGCTTTCACCACCCCTTTTTCATCAGTGGATTCTTGATGCTTAAGGAACGCAGTTTAATAAGTCGTTCCTTTCTACCTCAGTAACCACTGAGAGATGAACAGTGTTCTTCTTTTCACGTGCTCATCCATTAACCTTTTGAAGTCAAGGGAAAGCTGATGATTGTCCCTGTGATTAACACAGCTGTTTCTCTCTTGGTTGTCCGACAAACTTCTCAATGTCTTATTTTAGGTTAGAGTTGGCTTTAAAGGAATTTTGGAGAAGAGAAATGTAACGTGGGAAATATAGATATGATTGCTTGGATGTGAATCAACATATTGTCATATGGGAGTTCTTTCTTTTTTCCTTAATGAGTTTGACCTCCCCCTTTACAAGAACTGAATCCTAAAAGTTAAAATATAGTCTCTATGGTCTTAAAAGTTAGAATTTTATCCTCATGGTTTAATTAAACCTCATAAATAGTCCTTATAGTGTGATAAAATCCTTATAAATAGTCAGGGTTTTACCAATCCATAGGGATGTATTCTAACTTTTAAACTATATGGACCAAATTCCAACTTTCTCCTAGCCTTTTTTAGGGATATCCTCTCATTTGTTATAAATGAGAAATTTTATAATGGCTTTGGTAAGTTAAGGGTTTTAAGAATGAATTTCATTGCGGTGTACATAAGCTGAAGCCAGTATTCTGTTATTCTCCCTTTCGAACCTGTACAGTTTCTGATGCATATTTTTGATGCTTGACAGAAAATCTTGTATTCATTACCCTCATAGGAGCATCTTGAAAACTACTACGGTGTTCTTGTCCCTTTTCTTTTGCTCTGTCTCTGAAGATAAGATTATAACTTTTTCTGCAGGTTGTATCTCTTATTGGAAGACTTCAGGAGTTCTCCAAGCTAGAATCTGTGAATGCAGAGACGAAAGTGGAAGTAGATAGCTTTGTCATGTCCTCAAATGAGATTCCGAAAGCCCCTTGGGATGAAGGAGTCTGTAAAGTGTGTGGCATTGATAAAGATGATGACAGTGTCCTTCTCTGTGATACATGTGATGCTGAATATCATACATATTGTTTGAATCCTCCTCTTGCCAGGATTCCTGAAGGGAACTGGTACTGTCCCTCTTGTGTAATGGGAACACATACGGTTGAAAATCCATCTAACCATACTAGGAGCCACATTACTAACCTGCACAAAGGCAAGAAATTCCGAGGAGAAGTTACTCGTGATTTTCTGGATAAACTTGCCAATCTAGGAGCTGCATTGGAAGAGAAGGAGTATTGGGAGTTCAGTGTGGACGAGGTTTGTTAATTTTCTCATTATGCGTATTGACATAAGCTTACATTTTTTTTCTCCTATTTCATTATTTTATTTGATTCCACTAAATTTTGTAGTATTTTTCTTGTGCACTTTTATTTATATTACAATGGTAATAAAGTATTCGGTCATATTTACTATGCCTCAATTCAGTTACCACACATTAGAAGAATTATTGGGAATATTAGTAGGATGTTAGTAAGGGCATAGTGGTAATTAGTTAGGAGGACTTGGTTATAAATATTAGTGAGGGATCCTAGGACCAGAGGATTATTTTAGGGATTGTCCCATGGGACTTGGGGAGAGTCAATACCCCTCTTTAAGGTCTATTGATATTGCAATATGCTATGATTTTGTGTTTCTTGTTGTTGGGATCCTAACATAATCTGAAAGGCTGTTTTCATTTCATGGTTCATATTTCCTTATGCTTATATTTCTTCTGGATGCAGAGATTATTCTTGCTCAAATATCTATGTGATGAGTTGCTTAGCTCTGCCTTAATTCGACAACATCTTGAGCAGTGTGTGGAGGCATCGGCAGAGTTGCAGCAGAAGTTACGTTCGTGTTTCATGGAGTGGAAAACCGTCAAGTTTAGGGAAGAAGTTGTGGCTGCAAGAGCTGCAAAGCTTGATACAACTATGGTTAGTGCAGTTCGAGAAGGTGGGATGAAGGATGGGTCTTCTATGCTAATTGCAATAAATGTTTTACCTCCCAATATTTTTATTGGTTTTCCCACTTCAATATGTTGTCTGTTGATGTTTCAGGACAGGGTCATTATGATGGAGCTAGGCTTGGTGCTTCTGATCACTTCTCATTGTTAACGACCTTAGCGAACAAGTGTCACAATCATACAAGTTTTCAAGAGCAAACGAGCAATGCCAATGATGTTATCGATAACAATGATGCTGGTGGCAATGCTCTATCCAATTCAGGTTCTCAAAACAGTGGCAAACCTGTAAAATTCAATGAGCCACCTTTGTCCAGTTCTTTGCCACAAAAAGTTGATGGTTCTGAACAAAGTAATATAGAGACTGAAATTTCTATTCTACCATCCACAAAGCATCATTGGACACTTTGTGATGCTAACGGAGTGTCTGTAGCTCCTCATCTTCCTCATTTGAATGAATCACAAGCCTATCACAATGAGTTGGATAATATTAAGAAGGACATATTGCAGCTGCAGGATTCTATAGCAAGTATAGAGTTGGAGCTTCTGAAGGTATCTGTCCGGAGGGAGTTTTTGGGTAGTGACTCTGCTGGTCGGTTGTATTGGGCTAGTGTTATGTCAAATGGTCAGCCGCAAATCATCACTAGTGGGAGTTTGGTACAGATTGGAAGTGAATCTAGAGACCGGGTTGGTAAGGGTCGTGTGTTTAAGAATTATACTTCAACAAGCGATGGTAATTGTTCAAGTTTAGATGGGTCAAACATGTATTCCTCACTACTTCATCTGCCAAGGGATTCTATTGGAAATTTTCCATGGGTTTCTTATCAAACAGAGGCAGACATATTGAAACTCATTGATTGGCTGAAGGATAATGACCCCAAAGAAAGGGAGTTAAAGGAGTCTATTTTGCAATGGTATAAACCTAGATTTCAGATGTCTTCACGATCTTATAATCAAAGTCCCGAGGAGCAGTTAAAGGACTCATCATCAAGCTCGGATGTTGAAAAACCTGAATGTTCTGGTTTTATTTTTACCAGGGCATCTGCTGCATTAGAAAGTAAGTATGGTCCTTTCCTTGAATTTGAAATGCCTGATGACTTTAATAGATGGCTAGACAAGACCAGGTTAGCTGAAGATGAGAAAATGTTTAGGTGTGTATGCTTGGAACCTGTCTGGCCATCTAGGTTCCATTGTCTCTCTTGCCATAAGAGTTTTTTAACTGTTGCTGAACTTGAGGAGCATGATAATGGAAAGTGTAGTTTACACCCTGCCCAATGTGATTGTGTCAAGGAAGTTGGAGGCCCTTCAAAAAGTAAATGCAATATCAAATTTGAGAGCAAGCAAGAGGAGAGATCAAGCATGACCACATCAGAAACTTCTAAAGGAGGATATTTTAACCATAGTATGGGGTTAAGTAAATTTCAGAATGACGGCATGGTGTGCCCATTTGACTTCAATCTGATCTCTTCTAAGTTTTTGACGAAGGATTCAAACAAGGATGTCATTAAGGAGATTGGACTTATTAGTTCTAATGGGGTCCCATCATTTGTATCATCTATATCACCATACATTAGGGAATCAACATTGAGCGTAATTGATCTCAATCAAGATTCTGGTACTCGGGAGGATGGAACCTTGTCTTCTGAAAGGCAGGCTTCACTAGGAAATATTGTTCTGGAAAATGCTTGCCATCAAAATTCGTCTATAGATAATTCAATCCAAAGACCTGCTGGAAATGAAATTAGTGCACTGAAAGCAAAAAGGCCGGCATCAGGATTCCCAGAACCAAAAAGTAAAAAAATCAGTATGAATAGCCGTTTGTCAGAGTTTGGGATTGGTAGAGGCTTTGTCATCCCACAATCTTCACAGAGGCCATTAGTTGGCAGAATCTTGCATGTTGTTAGAGGACTGAAAAAGAATTTGCTTGACATGGATGCTGCACTTCCTGATGAAGCTCTAAGACCATCAAAACTACGTATTGAACGGAGATGGGCCTGGCGTGCATTTGTAAAATCTGCAGGAACAATTTTTGAGGTCAGTATTCCTTAATTCAGATACCGTGTCTGGGTACTTCAATTATCATTATCTGATTTGTGGGCTGATTTGTTTTCCTTTTTCTTGACATATGTTGCAGTGCATCTATTTCTTGCAAGTGCATCTAGATACATTTCTTTTACAAAATTATGTGGTGCTTGTTAATTTGCTTGAAGTTTTAGCTAAGCTTGAAGCAATGAGTAAATATCTTGGTTCTTGAATTTCGTGAGGTGAAACTAATACTTTATTCATTTCTCCAGATGGTCCAGGCAACAATTGCATTAGAGGACATGATAAGAACGGAATACTTGAAGAATGAATGGTGGTACTGGTCATCTCTCTCTGCTGCTGCCAAAATTTCTACCGTATCTTCTCTTGCACTCCGCATATTCTCTCTTGATGCTGCTATTATATACGAGAAGATATCGCCCAACCAAGATCCAAATGACTATTTGGACCCGAGCAGTATACCAGATCAGAAGCTAGCTGGTGTGGATTTAACAGAAAAGCCCAGGATAAGCAGCAGGAAATCTGGCAAGAAAAGAAAGGAACCAGAGGTTTAACCTGAGAGTCTCATCATATAACTCCCGACAAACTATAGCCACAGGGTTTATTCCAGTGGTTATGGTTGTTGTTGAGTTCTTGTGTTTGAAGACAAAGACCTTCAATTCATTTTATGGTTTATACCTTTTGCCATTGCTCCTTGACAAATTTGGAGTTATTTGCGATTTAACTGCTGCAGCCATTGCGCCCCTGCTGCCGACAGATCCGTCTGTACATAGAGGTAACCTTGCTAACTGGGATAAGCGGTTCAGAATCTATGTCTGAGCGCTTTGTTCATAAAGACTGCTTGAGGCTCCAACTCTAAATCGATAATATGGTCCCTTAGCCCAATTTTGGACAGAACTTCTGGAGCTTTCTTTGTTTGTTTTTTGTTTTTCATTTTATGCTTGGAGCAGGTAGGGTCCCAATGATATCTATTATCAAGCGAGACTCGTTTAGAAGGATGTCGTCATTAAACAGCAAGTTCCATACACACAGAAGCATTATGTATAAATAGAAAAGGGAGAAGGGAAGTCTAGAAAAAGAATTGAAACTCTGTTGTAAACACAGTTAATTCTTTACATTTCTTTCCCCCCTTCTCCCCACCCACAGTTTTTTTTTTTTTTTTCTTCTGTCATTTATGTTCTTCCCAACTGGGTATTTGTAGATGCCTGCCCATCATTCACTGGAGGGCAGGAAAACTCGTTTTGGTTTCTATTTCGTCTCGTGAATAACCTGCCTGTTATCTTTTGCTCCAAATGAATTTTACCCTGCATGTTTCTCTTACTCTAAACCTATCTATGTTCTGCAGCTGTTGCCATTGCAGGCATTAGTATCAACAATGGTAAATTTGACCTTACTTTTGTAGGTCTCGTCTTCCTTGGTGCCATGACTTGGTTGGGGCCTTCCTCAATCATTGTAACAGGTACCAGCAAGTACTCTTGCCTTATATAGGCAATCTTGAATATTTGTGCTTATAGCAATCAAAGGTATCTAGCTGCACATCTTTTTCTGTCTTCTCATTATTCTTGATGACCCGATTTCATATAGGAGTTCAGTATCGGTGTCGTTAATTGAAAACAGGAATATGATTTTCCACCGATCGGATTTTGAGAATCTTCCTCATGTGGATTAGGTTTTTTTTGCATATCAATTGAAAGAAAAAAAAAAAAAAAAAAAAAAAAACAAGAAATCTGAAGTATGCTATATCCTTGCATTGTCTTGTAAGTTTACGGTTCAAGTTTGTGGACACTACATTTTGCACCATTCTTTAAGCACAGCCATACGATACTTCAAACAATGTCCATAATATCTCAACTTTATACATTACAAACAAGAACTTCATTAACATTTTGTATAAGCAACAGGCTGTTACAAGTGGAATGACTGTCCTAAGGCCATGTCCACCAAGCAGGAGGCCCTCCCAGTCCCTCCTGATTTTGTTGGCCTGTTACTGCAAACATGTCTGAGAACAAGTAGTTGCTATTGTTATTGCTATTATCATGTTCCATTTGCAACCCATTAGGCAGAGGTGCACATTGCAGATACTCGTTGCTGGGGAAGTAAGAATCACAGCAATCAATGAGTTGTCGACAATTATCGTCGATCACCGTACTGCCATCACTCCCTGAACTGAGACGATCTTCAGCCTTTCTGCTGGAGTGTGGGGTGGAGACATTGCCAATGTCTGCTAGAAGAGGCTCTGATGTCACACATGGAATTGGTGCTTCTCCTCCATCCAGCTCTTTAGCCAGACATTTCTCAGTTAAGGAAGCCACCTGAAAGTAATATAATGAAATTTGTTTCAAGTCTTTAACTCTTGTTCTTAGTTTTCTATAAACTTTCCTATTTTCTTTCTTATCCTTTCAGACATGCTGTTCTAGTTCGATCTTTCGAAATGCACTAGATAAGAACTGACCGGGATTTCACTAAGCTATATACCGAGCTAGATTCAATACTCCAATAGTGAATAAGGCGAAAATTTTACTCGTCTACCATAATTTAAGAATGTGTATGTATATATAACTCACTTGAGATTTAAGATCTGCATTCTCTTTGATAACTGAGTCATAGTTAGACAGAAGCAAATCATATGAAGCTTTAAGAACATCATAGTCCCTTTCGAGCTGCTTTGTCTTCCATCGAGCACGACGATTCTGGAACCACACAGCCACCTGCCTTGGTTGCAGCCCCAACTTCTTGGCCAGTTGGGACTTCCTCTCTGGCTCCAGTTTGTTCTCTTCATCAAAGCTCTTCTCCAGCATTTGAACCTTCAACAATTTTCCACAACTTCTTCATTTTTGTCCCACAGAGAGAAAGAGAGAGCAGCAGCAGAAGCAGGCAAATATAACAAACCTGATCATGGGTGAGACGACGCTTCTTTTCAGGGTAGAACTCGTCGTAATATTCATCATCGTAAAGATCGTCCGGTGATTGAAAAAATGGCCTCCCCTTTGGACTCTCATGCATAGTCATACTAATCATTGTTCTTCCTCCTTCATTTTCCATCCCAATATTAAAAAATAAAATAAGTTTTGATTTAATTGCGAGGGAAAATCCATACAAAACTATTTAATGCTAATCCAGTATTTATAAACATGAATCACAGTTTCTTTTTTTGTTCAACTATTTTATGGATATTAGAAATTTGGTAAACAAATTAATTTTATAAAACCAAATATTTAAAATTTCATAATTTAAGTTCATAAAGTTCATACATCAATATAAAATTTGAAACATCATTATTATTATTGTAAACAAAAGGGTTTCCACTAACATGTAAATTGATTAAACAAGGAAGAATGCATGCAGAAACACACAAGAGCACTCAATCGAAAAGTTGAAGATCAAAACAAAAGAAAAACCCACTTCCATTAAAATAAGAGAAAAAATATAGGCTTATTTTTGGATTATTCCAAAAAGTTAGGCATGCGGTAATTTATTAACTAACCATTATTAACAAATTTAAATAAATTCTAGACCACTACTTAATTATAAACATTATAATGAGGCTTTAAATAATGAAAAAACATAAACAAATCGTAGGGTTTCCAAAAACTCTACGTCATCACTCTCTCTCTCCTCTCTCTCCTTTGAAAAGTTCATAAATTGTGGAAAATAAAAAAAAAGTATTAAAAACTTATCCACAAAAAAAAAAAAAAACATAATTTTTGTTCTTAAAATTTGGGTGAATATTTCTTAATATGTTTTGTTTTTCTCACAGTTTTTTAATATGATTTCATTTTCTTCAAGTAATTAATTGAATTCTTATAGCTAAATTCTAAAAAAAAAGACATTTTGAAAAGTTTTTTTTTTTTTTTATTTTATGGAAGGGTTATTAAAGGAAATTAAAATTTTAAAAGTATCTCTATTATTGAGTTCTATTTGAAGTAAAATTGAAAATAAAAACATTAAATGATATAGCGAAACTTTTAATTCTAACGAATAAGTGTATATTAAAGTATAGAAGTAGAAGTTTGATTAAAATGCTTTGAAAAAACTTTATAGCCATGAATCAATACAAATAAAAGAGATCGGAAGAGAAATTGACCTCGCAGAACAGGATCGCCACCGGCTCCGCCAAGGTAAAGCATGTTGCCACCGCAAGGCCGCGGATTAAACAAGAACCGCCCAGACTCCATTAAAATCTCCGATTCCAGCGGCGTAGAGGTAAAATTTGTACGAAATTTCGAATTTGACTAAGGCGAAGGTTTACTACTAACCTAAAACACGAACAGTAATCTCGAAAAGGAAAAAGAAAAACAGGATCAAGATCGCTTGTGGCGGAAGAAACTGGTAGTCCAGAGTAACCTAGCGGAAATCTCCAACGGAATCGCAAAAAATCCCACCATGCCTTTTAATTTCTGCTTCACAGATTCCAATAACAATCGGTCGTCGGAGATACAAGTTCCGGTGACACGCAGAAAGAAGAAGAGCGATATGATCGGACAGAGGAGACGCGACGGCTGGACTCTATATCTGTTCTTCCAATCGATGGCTTTTTCCAGGCGCCTTCCGCTACCTAAAGGGAGGGAGTTGAAATGACTAAACTACCACTGTCATTATATTTTTATTACAAAAGTATTTTTATTTTATTTTTCTAAATAATATTTTTTTATCCATCAACTGGGATGATATTAAAAAACGAAAGATACCTTGTAACTATATATGAAGTCATCCCCATACTTTAAAATAATTATTTTTCTGCCCATAAGATTTAAATATTTACGAATAATTATTTTCTCCAAATTTAAAATGAATACAAATAATTATAAATTGAATATCTAAACCATTAACCATTTAGAAATATTGAATAAAGAAGATTGTTTAGAAATGGAGTTTTATATATAATTTCCGATGCTTGACTTTACACCAAAAACTAGATCTAGGCCGTCGATTCGAAAGACAGCCACTGAGATTGAAACACATGACAAGAAGTCAAAATATTAAAGTATCTCGTCTAGATGCGCCTCCTAATTCTATGTTGCATGTGACTGTATGTCCATTTTAAATTCTTTTGACATTTTGTTAAATTATGTTTAATCAAAATAATTTGTTTCAAAATATACAACAGAAGAGACTTACCCGAATTATATGTTATCAGTCGTCGTTTATTATTCGTTAACTTATAACATTATTTTCTTAAAACGTTTTCTAATTTTTTTTAAGGGATAAAAAATTTCTAAGGATAAATTAAAAATAAAATTAAAACTTTTAAAACTATGAAATAAAATGGACCAATCTCATAACATTTCAAATTATTATTCAATGTTTTAATTAATGAGTTCGACTAGTTCATGATCCTATGTGTTCAAATTTATAATAGTTTTTTTTTTTATTTAATATAGATGAGATTTTAAACCGTCTCATCTTTAAAAAAATATATATTGTAACTTGTTTAGTCATCTTATTTTCAGGATCGTTTTCAGTAGTTTCAATTTATTCATGTGTTCCTCATTTATTCGGGTGTCACAAAATATATATATTATATCTCACAAGATTCTATTTAAAATAATAACATTGTAGAAAAAAAAAAAAAATTGACAGCATTTTCTTATAGATTTAGCAAAATAGCTGGAAAATTATTTTAATACTATCTTGTGGCCAATGTTTTTTCTGAATATGAAATTACTCATAAGAAAGTTGCGTAAAAATATAAAAGAAATATATGACTTTTGTTTTTACAATTAAAAAACTATTTATTAATTAATAATAATAATATTAGGTGGCAGTACACATGGCCCATATTTTTGCAATTTTGTTTTTAAAAAATTAGGGTTTTATTGGTACTGCTCTGACTTTGGTGAATAATTTAAAATTATTTTCCCCACATTAAATAGTTCTTAATTTTGTCAAATTATTTTATTTCTCCATTCCAATTAATAAATATGACTAAATCGCTTTATTCATTTTTTTTTTCCAAGATGAAATTAAAATATTGAATTTTTTCAATTTGTAATAATGAATAGAAATTTTAGAAAATTTGGAGGGCTTCTTCCCAAATATTAATGAACATTTATTCTACTCTCTTATCATCCATTACAAATTGCTATTATTTTTTTTAAAAAAAATTTATAAAAAAAAAAGAAAAGAAATAAAAATTGCTATTAAAGATATTTAGAAGCATATTTTAAATGATCTAAAAGCATTATTTTGAATACTCAAAATTTAAAGATCTAAAAATAAAAAATAAGATATTGTTCGCTTTGACTTGTTAAGTACCGTTATATCTCACAGTTTTGTTAAGGAGAGATGTTTCACCGTTGGCACACCTCTCGATAATATTATTAGTTTGACCCGTTACATATCTTATAGAGTTAAAACACATATTCTAGAGTTAGGTAGGATTCAAATTCGACTTGGGTTTTTCTTGTTTGATGAAAAAAAGAAACATTTATGGGGGAATGAACCAAAAGGCTATCTCTTTTTGTAAGTGGAGAAGAAAAAAAAAAGCAATAAGAGAAAATGGGATTGAAAATTGCATGCATTAAAAAGAAAGTGACATGCTCCACGAAGTGTTGAATTGTGGAGGAAGCTTAGGTTAAAGCTCCAACAGAGAGTGTGTGCAAGCGGCATGGGCGGGGTGAGCTGCCTTTGCGCATAAGCAGCAGCTTGTTTTGAAGGAGGTCCATAATGTGGGCGTGAAAGCTACACGTTTTTTCCATACAGATGATCCTTATCTTTAGCTCATTTTGTGAATAGTTCGAGTGAACAAGACTTGGAAGTAATGTTGGATAGGGCGTTTTCTTTAGAGTGCTTTTGAATGAGAAAAGTAAAGGAGAGGGCACTTAGTGTGAGAGTTTAAAAGCTCTTAGATACCCATCTCTTATCTCTTACCTTAAACTTGTTAGTGGTGTATCTTTTTGTGTATGAGTGTGATCTAAACCCGATATGAAATATCACGATTTAATGGTGCAAATATGTTTACGTCCTTTGCCCTGTTACAGCTATTTGGGTCGTATTAGCTATGTGACTAAATATGTTTAATGAAAAGTCTGCCCATTTGTCCCATACAATTTCATAAATTTTTATATTGTCTTTCTATTCAAGCTCACCCGGATCTTGGATCTACATTGGATCTCACCTGAATCGACTCATTTATCCATAGAGCTAATAACCCGTCTTGCGGGCCCTCCCGTTGGGGCCCGCTATGCCAAAAGCAAGAGAAACACCATCCCTCTCTTTCTTGGTTTGGGCTTTCCCTTCTAGGCTTGCTTCCCCTCAAGGTTTGAGAGGTTTGGGCTTCCTCTCTTCAACCGATGTGAGATTGGACTTCTTCTCTCCAATTGATGTGGGATCGAACTTCCTCTCTCCAACCGATGTGGGATCGAATAGTTGGTTTCGTTTCATTCCTCTTCGATTGATGTGGGATCTCTAACTGATATGGGATCGACAAGGATCTAACAGTTGGTTTTGTTCCAATGTGGGATCTAACAATTGTTATAACTATTTGAGTTAAAGTGGGGCATGGTTTTGTATATATTGTGTATATATTAGTATGATCATTTACAATGTGAAGCATCACCATTAATAGTATACGTACATGTGAAACATCACCATTAATAGTATACGTACATGTGAAACATCACCATTAATAGTATATGGCTACGAAGGACATCTTTGCTTCTCTTTTGCCTCTACATCTTTAGTAAATTCATAACTAAAAGATTGGCCATCAGCCCATTATATTCTGTTTTGCCCAAAAACAAAATTTGTGCAATTAAAGTCAAAACAATAAATTTTGAAGTTCGTTAGATTGCCCATCATTTTACTTCACTCCAAAATTATAATACTTTTTAAATAATATTTAACTTTCAAAAAAAATTATATCTATTTAAAAAATATATTATTTATGGAATATAATATTATATTTTAATGTTGTAAGTATTAGTGGCTAGCTATTTAAAGGATATAAATATTCTCTACCAAGAGTGTTATTGCACTGGGGACGACAAGATTATATTTCTCATTCTTAGAAGATTATATATAATTCCAAAATTATAACATTGTTCATAGAGGGAAGTATTTCAGATAACCCTCTTTGTCATTTAATTTAGGCATTTCACTTTTGAATTATTATAACAATAATAAATGAAGCATTTACAATGAACCACCCAAGTACGAAGCAATTGGGAAAATCATCTCAACAAAGAAGCCAAATACAAAGAATTCGCACCCATACGTTGCAGCATATCATCTTTTATCAACAGATTTGAAGCCAACTTCATGACCCCATCTCCCCCTTCCACCAACGTATCTTTGCACGTCACGTAGAAAGACAGCGACCCCGTCAGGCTGGATTGAAGGCTCGCCTTGTCATTGCTCTCCAAATACTGGAGGCTTTTCACCAGATCGTCGATGGCGGAGTCAAAGTTCTCGGTGCACACCGCTATGAACTGTGAGTTCCCCAGCCTCTGACTCGACGCTTTGGCGCTTTCCGTTTGAGACATGAGCACTTCGATGGTGTTCTTAAGGGCAACTCTTGGGTCGTTCGACCCTTTCACTGCGAACCGACAGAGGCGCACGTAGTCGGCTTTGTCGCAGATGTCGGATCCGTGAGCTTGGCCGTTGCATGAGAGGGTGGCGGCGGCGACGGCGGCCAGAAATAGGAGTGAGAAAGAAACCAAGCGGTTTTCAGCCATTTTGAAATTGGAAATTGATAGTTTAAAATGGCTTTTTAGGGTTTTTAGGCTTCTTCCGTTTGAGAATTTTGCGTTGGATTTGTTTTTATAGCGATTGTATCATAACCGTTTTCCTCAACTGCCCCATCATCAACGGTCTTCCGTAATTCTCTCAACTGATTTTTCCTTAACTATAAATAACATTTTATTTTTTTAATTACAATTTTAATTTCATAAAAATGAATAAAATAAAAGTAAATATATTTTGAAACTTAATATTTTTACAAAATATAATTCAATATACTTCTAAGTTTTTTTAAAAAAAATCATTTTATAAAAATTTTACTTAAAAATATTATAAAAAAATAGAAAGGATGTTAGACAATAGAAATATGAAGAGATATTTCAATTAGTATAAATATAAAAAAAAAAAAAAAAAAATCATCAAATATTTAAATCATCAAATAAATATTTTAAAATTAGAAAATAAGTTCCATTTTTTTATCATTAAATTTGAAATCCTATTTAGGAACGAGGTTTAAGATGTTGGGTATAAGCATTCCAATCTAAATTTTACGAAAATACCGATGGATAATATAATAATAATATATATATATATATATATATACTCGACCAACGTTTGTTATTTATATTATACGAGCAAAATATTGAATGAAGTAAATAATTTTTTTTTTTATATTGTATGATTATTTACAAAATAATGAAAACACGATTAAACAAATTTCTTTTGAGTTTAGTCCATTGTGTTTAATCACAATGTCTGGATTGTGTTTCGGTTCGAGTAATTGTAATATAAAACAGTCTTTTATGTAAAGGGACAATTTTTTTTTTTTTTTATTAAATGAAATAAATATAATTATCAAATATCTAAATTATTTGTGTTAAAAGAATTAAAACAACCCACAA